TTTCGGAAGTTGCTGCTTTAGAAGAAAACAAGCAGACAACAACGACTCGACACGTGCTTCACCGCGTCTCGTTACAGATTGCATAGACTGCTCTCGAGAGTAATGAATGCTGGTAATCGATGCCCGGTTTATACTGTGTCGAACGATTAAATTTACAATCAAATATTCTCTCGATTAACAAACGGCCAGAAATAGTCATGTAACGCGTTTCCTTGATTGTTGTGATTGCGAAGCGTGAACGAAGGTGCGGTATTGCGTGACGAGGTCTCTCGTGTTAACAGTCCATCGTGGAAAGTATAATTTCAGAGTTAAAACATTATCGATTATATCTCTCACTATCTCCATTTTTGCTCAGAAAAGGGAGGCACGTAGTCGCGGGAAATAAGAACTACATGTGGATGAAAAGTTGGAGAAATTAAAAAAAAAAAAAAGAAAAATATCCTTCGAAGAGTAACGCAAAATCCACTTATAACGACTTATAAAAACATTCGTTATAATCTGTTAAAAATATGCTTGGTTTTATATGCTGTAATATTTTATAAATAATCACAGGTGAAGAAGATAGGCATTCTTCGTTGGAACTGAATGTTCACGGGCCGACGGTAAGGGGATGGCAAAGTTCAAGAAAATGTACATATCCCCAAGAACTTATTCTACGCCTTCACGGCCCGACGAAGCTCACGAGAATACAAGTCTTAGCTCATCAATATTTAATTCGTAAGTTCTACAAATAACGTATCGTATTCCTGTCGTGTCACTATCTCCCCTGCCGTGAATCATTTTATGAAAACTTAACGCCACTCCGCCGGGGTTCCACCAGAAAGCAATTCGCTAACAATGAAAAACGAATTAGCACGGCAACCTGGATTTCCCGAGGCTAGGCCGCTCTGCCTTTCTCGTTTCACCCTCTTTTCTTGCTCCACTCTTATTCCGCTGAATGCCGTGCAACTTTTTTCAATCTCCAAATTCCTGCTTTCTTCTTCGAGCAACGCGTTAACGAGGAGGAGACGGCCTTGATAATCATCGTCAAACACTTGCAGCCGAGAAACTCGAAATTTGGACATCGAGGGAGGAGAATGCATCCGTGACGACCGAGTTCAGTTACTTGGGTTACATTACGCTGTCGGACAATGCCTCGACCATGTACAAAAGTAGGGAGCTGAAAAGCGTCGCTCTTCCAGAAACAGAGGCGGTCTCGCTGAAACTAAGACTTCACAAACCGCACAGCAACGCGCACAATGTTTATCAACAGGTATATAATCCCTCGGTATATACATACATGATAGTGAATACATTCTGTTGCCCCGATATTTCCTGCAAAATGATTTCCTGAACGATTACGATATCCTTTCATTATTTCTCACTCTCGCTAAGAATCTTAACACCAAACATACCAAGCGAGGTCTTTTCAATATTTACTTTAAAATCGTACATTCGTTGTTATTTCTTTCGCTA